CCATACTCACACACCAGCTCCATCACACATATTTGTATTCCAAATTCCTATCTGCCATTCATATATTAGCATGTACCAGTCAAACACAAGTTCTACACAGCAGCAGAGATACATGCGTATATTTAGTGCACATTTTTACTCTAAATTTCACATCTTCAAGTTTTAAATGTTCCTCCCTTCCTTTGTGTCTTTTGCCCATTTTCTGCGTTTCTTCCTTCTGTAATTCCTAACAAATGTTGTACTTTCTGATATACTACCTGTGTCATATATATTCTAAGACACACTACACCTTTGCTCTGTATTAAATAATCAGCTTAATCACCACAATTCCTTGTTGTCTTTGCTCCTGCATCTATTAAGCTAATCAACTCATCTACTGAGGTTTTTAAAATCAAATGATTAAATTTACGTGCAAATTTTGTTTTTGATTTGTGCTCAATTTATTTAAATATATAACATGAATTTCTTAAAAGCTTAAATTTTAATATCAGTCTTCTGATTCCTTCATTAAGTCTGTTTCTTCAGGTGTTAGTTCTCTTTACTGACTTGTTTTCATTTCTCATGGTATACACTTTCCTCAAATATTGAGTGATCTATATGGTTGTCTGCTCAACTTTGTATTTAAAGATCACCATTCCACTTCCTGCTATGTTTGTTTATCCTCTTTCCAGTATTTGCAATTAGGAAGTGAAGAGAGTTAAGCTGACTTCTTCTCTAGCATGACAGGTTTTCTGCTCCCTGTAAGGTGTGAGTCCCTCCCGGCCTTTGTTGTCCCTGTACACGTTGTTCTACTTGCACACAAAAGCCACTCTTTAGCATCAGTGGCTGATGAGGCTAATAGGCCTCTGTACTGGAAACTGATTTTCTTTCCTCAAAAAATATCTCAAAGCTCCCTTCAGTATCTTTTAACTCTGAGCTTGTGGCTCCCTGGCATCACTCCTGTAGTTGGGGTGGGATTATTTTTTCTACATCTATTTTTGTTTATAAATACGTTTTTGTTGTTGCCGTTTTCTCCTTAAGTCTGATACCCTCTCCTTTCTGCCTTAGGATACTGAGGCAGGAGAATAAGGTCTGGAGGCAGGGAACCTAAGGCTGATTCACGCTGACTTTCTAGAGCTAAATCAAAAGGAAAACTCCAACTTTCCACATCTAAGTAACAAAAGGACCAGAGACTACTCCCTTTGCAAACACCTTCCCCATCTGGAAAATTGAAAGTACCTCTGATTAGTTGCAGAAAGCAGAACGTACCTCTGATTGGTTGCTTTTTGCATAAAAGTGTAACTTTGTAACTTCTCTTCAGCCTCTGATTGGTTGCTTTCCACAACCAGACTAATTGCGAGACCACAACTTCATTTGCATGGGGTGTACACCAAGTGGCCAATGGGAAACCCCTAGAGGGTATTTAAGCCCCAGAAAATTCTGTAACTGAGGCTTTGAGCCTTGCTCAGCTGGTTCCCACCCTGTGGAGTGTACTTTCATTTTCAATAAATCTCTGCTTTTGTTGCTTCTTGTCTCCTTGCTTTGATTGTGCATTTTGTCCAGTTATTTGTTCAAAATGCCAAGAACCTGGACATCCTTCACTGGTAACAATACCACCCAACTTTTAAAGTATTTCAAAGTATTTTAGTTTTTTATTGATCCATAAGAATAAAACCTAATGTCAAATTTTAAAAGTCACAATATAATACTGAGAAATAAACTCTTCTTCATAATTGGCTTAAAGGTATGTACTAGTATATTGTTCTCTGTAAATACTATGATCAGGTGTGCTTATTTTGGAAATAACAGTTAGTACTTTAAAAATGAGCTCAAATACTTCCATTGAGCAGAGTAAATATAATGTTACCTGCCTTTTTGAGAATTATAAGAGATGAAATAATGAAGGATTCCTTTTAAATAAACATATTTGAGGTCATTAAAAAATATTGATGAAATCATGGCAGAGCCTTTCTTAAGAGGCCAACGTTATCTTAACAATGATTACTTCATGTCACAAAATTGTGACTGCTGGGTCTTGAGTGTTTTTGCAACTTACTGTTAGAAGCAATTAGCCTGTCAGAAAAAATGGAATTATTTTTGGATTAACAGTAATGATGCTCGGCCATCTAGGTGGACCTTGGTTGATGGCAGATATACCTGCAGTATTGGTCTCCGCAATGATTGTCAGGGCTGATTTAACTGATGATAGGTTCTGATAGACCAGTGTTACTTTCCTCACTCAGAATTTTGACTATGAAAAAAGAGGTGAACTCTTTTAAAAGAAAACCTATTTTAAAAGAAGGTGGATTTCAGATATAAGAGGGAGCCTGAGAGTATGGGGCAGTCATTGTGCTCCATATATATCACCTGACAGGGCATGGCTGACTCCTCATTAATTCAGCCATTCAGTCACAGAGGCAGTCAGCAAATATGTATTGTGAACTTAACAACGATATAGACACTTACTATATTGGGCTCTGGAGGTTTTCTTTTAAGTTGAATAAGCCACAGATTTCTGACCATTAGAGTGGACAAAGGACATATCATTAAATGTATGTGATAAATGTTAGTGGGACTACAAAACAATGGCCTTTTGGGAGATAATGGATTGAGGCAAAGAACAGTCTCTTGAAAAACTCCTGATCTGGACGCTTAATAAAGTGTCCCAAGCCCAGGTCACAGAAGTAATTTTTTATAAATATTTTTGAAATACAAAGTACTTTCTATGTGAATTAATTACCAGTTCTCTCTTACTGAGTCTCCAACACGTAAAAGCAACCATTATAAAACAATGCATTTCCAAGATATGCAGAAATAACTGCCATCAAGAGTTTGAGAAAAATAAACTTCAGTGTTTCTTCTGTGGGTCTCTCTCTTCTGGACACCAGGCCTGAGACTTCAGCAAAGAAAAATCCCTGTTTAAATTAGGAACTCAGGAACATTTTGACTATGATATGCTTTATTTAGTCTTACTTAGTTTCATATGTTTTCCAGTAGAGAGTAAATATAAGGGACATCATGATTACATAAATCAAGGATAACAACATGAGGAATATAAAAATATTTACCTCCAGCCATTTAACTATACCTCAGTTATCCACACAACAATAACATCAGCAAAATACTACTAACCTATGGTTTTACTGAAGTAATAACCAGGTACTTATTATAAAATTTCCTAATAGGAATTCATAAATGTACATATTTCAGAGAAGAGAGCGCCATACATGCATATCTATAAAGATGCCATCCATATATACAAAATATACATTGCCTGTGGCAATGAAAGAAAACCTTTAGTGTTAATTAATGAGGAAAAGCCAAAATGAATCAACGTTTTTAAAAATACACAAAAAACCAAAGCTCTCCAAAAATTCTCAACCTAGAATTCCAGATATAGCTAAAGTATCTCCTAAAATACTAATTTAAATGTTATGCAAGTAATTTTAAAAATGGATTAAAGAACAGTTTTTTCTGAAAAGGTAAACAAAACAGAAAAAGTAATAGTGAGCAAAGCAATTGTTACTGAAGTGGTAAATCTAAGAAAATATTGATTATATCTGGCAATTATAAATAATTTAGAAGTTTAAAAACATATAGTACATGAATATTACTCAAAAGTAATATGAGAGATGAGAAAGAATATATTAAAACTTTCTAAGAGGCTCATCTTGTTCAGAAATAGAAATATTGATTAACTTTATACTGTGTTAAATAAGATGAATTTTATATGGCAAATCTAAGAAGAACAAATTAATAGAAATAGAACATTATTTGTTGAAGAGCCAAGCATAAGATAACTAGTACAAAATATCTAACAAACAATAGTATCTAGAATATTTTTAAATTTTTACAAAGCAATAAAATAAGCAACCAAACTGATAGGAAGATAGGCAAAACATATTAAAAGGATATTAACAGAAAAATAAAGTAAAATGTGACTAAATCTGCAAAGAAATCTTCTCATTAATAATCATTAAAACGGGAATTAAATGAAATACTATTTGTGCCTATTATAATGGAAAAATTATTAAAGCTAAACAAGTGTGGCATGTATGTGAAAGAACAGGAATGTTTGCATAAGACTAGCAAGGGTTTAAATTGTATTAATCCCTTTTGGAAGCAAACAATTTATATTCCTATTTATTGAAGACGATGGGCTGCCCATTCTTGGAGTGAGCAGCGGCCACATGGAAGCATTGCAACAGAGGCTCTCTTACCAAGATGCAAATTGAGATGGAAGTATATGTATTGTATTTGCTATTCTGACAAATCAAAGATGAACTAATCAGTATGAAAAGGAAGTAAATAAAATAAGTTATTCTTGGCAAATTCTTACAATTAAACTCTACCCATACTAACAATAATAGTGTATATTTTCTTGTTACACCAGTTAGCACAGTAAGTATTTATATCTACAAAAATATGAAGCAAACGTGCGAACAACAATTGATCATCTGTGTGACTGCAGGCTTTTTGTGTTAATCATTATAGTTTTCTACATTTCGAAGTATTTCCAAATTTATTTCAATAAAAAGACTTTTCTACTATCTTATTGACTCTTCACACTTTCCCTCTTTCTGTGTAATTACTCTAAGTATCTTAAAATCATACCATATACAGAAATATAAATTTAGAATAAGAACTATTGTCTTGGGTATATATAAAACAAAAACAAGTTACTTTGTACTTTTTAATTTTTTCACCAAAAATAAACACAATAAAACCCCTACTTTCGGGAAAAAAAAAGATACACGTTTACTATTTTTTTTGTATTTTTAAGGGAAAAAAGGTATTCAAAGGAAATATTTCTGAATCTTAAGTTATATATTGATTACTGCAAAAAATTATTAAATACATTTTTCTCTCAGTTAGGCATAACTTACAGTGTCATAAAATATATTCAAATATAACATTTTTTTCTCTCCTATAGTATAAAATCAGAACTTGGTTTAGAGAAGTATTTGCTGTGCTCTGATTTACTTTGAGAGCCTATTTTGGTTCTTCCATACTTTACTGACCATAAAGCTCCAGAGCTGGTGGTACCTTTTCTAACCACTTCTTTTCTTGCTCTTGGTTGCTCGACAGCAGGTGATGGATTGTGTTAGTTGCTAGGGTCAAGCTGTTGTCTATAGGAAAAATAAATCATAACATTTGCAGCAATTATCCCAAGTACAATATCACCATTTAAATTACTGTTTAACACCCCCAGCTCAGATTTGTATACATGAGTGGCACCTCTGGATATAGGACTCACAGTGAAAAAAATGCCAAGAGCACCAGCAAATGAAGAAATAGAAAAACAGAAAGACTGTAGTAAAAGGGATCAGGGGAAGATACAAATTCTGAAATTAAAAGAAAACTCTCACTTTATAGATGTTAGATTTCCTACAATACAGAGTATATTACCTATGCCACAATATTTTTTAATGAATTTTTTTTTCCATTAGCCATAGTGATACAGTAGTTAAAAAGAAATTATTTAGGCAGATAGTGAGGGTAAGGAAGTCCTTGGTAAGATTTTCCTTTTAATGAAAAACAGTCCCCAAATCATTTTCTTTTCTAACAAAGAGCAGCCTGTAAAATTGAGCTGCAGACATAGACAAGCAAGCTGGAAGCTTGCAAAGGTGAATGCTGGTAGTTGTGCCAATAGAAAAAGGCTACTTGGGATTAGGCATGTTCAAAATGACAGCTCCATGTTCCCGTCTCTTTGACAGCCACGTGTACAGTAAGGAGCAGGCAATGTAGCACCAATCAGGCAACAACCTTATTTGCATAATGATTCGGGTGGGGCAGCCAGCTTCCCCGAGCATTATGTAAACATCACAGTTGGTCCAACCAATCTTTGGGCCCTATGTAAATCAGACACTGCCTTCTCAAACCTGTCTATAAAATCTATTGCCTTCCAACACAGGCCGGAAGTCCCATTCAGGCATCCCTCTCCCAGGAGAGAGATATTCTCCTTTCTCTTTCTTTTGCCTATTAAACCTCCAGTCTTAAACGCACTCTTTGTGTATGCTGGAGTCCTTAAGTTTCTTGCCACGAGGTAATGAACCTCAGCTATCACCCCAGACAGCAATGCAGCTCAGTAACAGATTTGTAGTTAGCTCTGATGATGGTGCTAAGTGGCAGAATAAAAGCAATGACAGAACTGGAGAGCATTACCTGAATGTAGATCACAGCTCCCCTGACCATCACGTGTGTGACCTTGGACAAACATTAGCATCTCAGGTCTCGCTTCCCCCCATCAACTTGAAATTGTGGCTGTTAGATTCATAATTGCTATTGTTCTCCTCAGATGTATTTGCATATGATTCTCTCACACTAATTTTTTATGTAAGGAATGTAAATAAGAAGTAGATAGTAATAATCTACTGATAAACATTTAATTTCTCTAAGTTGTTAGTTTTTAAACTTTTGCTCATATGAACAATAAGAAGTACATCTGACAAAGGGCTAATATCCAGAATCTACAAAGAACTCAAACAAATTTACAAGAAAAAAATAAACAACCCCATCAAAAAGTGGGCAAAGGATATGAACAGACACTTCTCAAAAGAAGACATTTATGCAGCCAACAGACACATGAAAAAATGCTCATCATAACTAGCCATCAGAGAAATGCAAATCAAAACCACAATGAGCTACCATCTCACACCAGTTAGTATGGTGGTCATTAAAAAGTCAGGAAACAACAGGTGCTGGAGAGGATGTGGAGAAATAGGAACACCTTTACACCGTTGGTGGGACTGTAAACTAGTTCAACCATTGTGGAAGACAATGTGATGATTCTTCAAGGATCTAGAACCAGAAACACCATTTGACCCAGCCATCCCATTACTGGGTCTATACCCAAAGGATTACAAATCATGCTGCTATAAAGACACATGCACATGTATGTTTATTGCAGCACTATTCACAATAGCAAAGACTTGGAACCAACCCAAATGTCCATCAATGATAGACTGGATTAAGAAAATGTGACACATATACACCATGGAATACTATGCAGCAATAAAAAAGGATGAGTTCATGTGCTTTGTAGGGACATGGATGAAGCTGGAAACCATCATTCTCAGAAAACTATGGCAAGGCCAGAAAGCCAAACACTGCACGTTCTCACTCATAGGTGGGAATTGAACAATGAGAACACTTGGACTCAGGAAGGGAAACATCACACACTGGGGCCTGTTGTGGGGTTGGGGAAGCGGGGAGGGATAGCATTAGGAGATATACCTAATGTAAATGACAAGTTAATGGGTGCAGCACATCAACATGGCACATGTATACATATGTAACAAACCTGCACGTTGTGCACATGTACCCTAGAACTTAAAGTATAATAAAAAATAAAAATAAAAAAGAAGTACGTTTTATACTTAGTATAAACACACATAATCAATCTATCTAATCTGTCATCTATTATAAAACAAAGGTTTCACAAACCAACTTCCATTCTTAACTGTTTGTGACAAACCCTGATTGTTCTATTACAATTTATTTAAAGCCCATTTGCATGGATATAAGTTCTTTCATATAATGACCCTTCCTAACTTTTCATTCTTATCTGCAGAATCTCTTTCATACTATCTCAGTCTCCAGCGCTGTTCAACAAACATACATGCTTATGCAAACACGCAGAAATACACATGTATGCACATACACAATGCTATTTCTCTGATTTTTCATATAGATGAGATTTCTTATCTTCTGCAACAAATTTTGATAACTGCACATTTCTTAAAGTTTTATTGTTCAGTACATAAAAGTAAAGAAGTTGGGATTAAGCAAAGAGAGCTGGGTTATAAGCTGTTGAGGGAAATTTAAGATTTTTTTTATCCTTTGGGGGAAAAATGGTATTAAGGTACTGCTAAGGTAGTGAATATATCTGGCTCAAAATTATTAACCCTAATAAGATATTGTCAATTGGACTTTTTCATAAGAGTATTTCCATTCATTAAATTATCTAACTAGGTAAGGTAATGTTTTGAACCCTGCGTGGCAAAAAAAAAAAAAAAAAAAAAAAAAAAAAAAAAAAAAAAAAAAAACTTAGAGAAAAATGAGCCACTGAATATCTTCACCCCCACCCCCTGTGAGACACTACAGGTCTGAGGGGATGAGAATATGAAAACACAGTTCTGTTTTGGTGAACAGAAAATGAAGAGCACTTATGAATATCTAGGGTATGGGAGATAGACTGACAGCTGCCATTAGCATTACAACTATCTCCATGTAAGGATATCCAAAGAGCCACCTCTAATCCATGCTCCAGTAGAAGTGTCCATTGTAAACTCATAGGCGTCTCAAGCATGGAAGAAGGCAGCTTTTAGGCATGGAGAATTGTAAGATTAGGTGACCATTGCCACTGATACCAGTTCTGTTTGTCCTTTGCTTAATGTAGATGCTATTAAAGAGTATTTAATTCAGTCAATGAAAGAAGAATTGAAATAGACTAAATGTTTAAAGTCAGCCAATAAAGTTAATTACATAAGACTTATTTAAAGTGCCTAATTCAGATAACACCATCTCTGAAAAATATTCTATCTTGAAATGTCCTATAGAGCTTCCTGTTTTAGTGAAATTCCTATAGATAAAAGTATTCAGTGCTTTTCCTCAGCTATTTCTGATCCTTACACACATGTTCCCAATGCCACGTTCATATTGAATTGTAATTTACAGAGTAATTTGCGTGTGGCAATCAGGATTACTAACTCCTATTAGACTCCCTTGCATTACCCAAAATATAATGTAATAATAATAGTACTTACTTGTGCATGCAATTTTACAATTGAATGGCATATGAGAAGGAGTTTACCTATCACTTCTCATGTTTCCATCCTGTAAAAGACTAAGGACATGGAATTTGCGCTTGTGGTCTTTCATTGGGAACTTTTAGAAGGAATGTTTTGTTTTGTTTTTGCCATAGAGATGAAGAGCATATCAGAGCTTCCATGGGGCTCAGGACTTTGTGCCTCAATAACAAAAGTTGAGCATATCCACCCTCCTTCATGCCTCATGTCCAGAACAGCAGTGCACCACTGGCATTATCACCTAAGTGTACAACAAGGCAAGACCACCTTTGACAAGCTCTCCCTTTCTTCTGCCTCCCATTGAGAGTGTGGGAGAGGCCTGTCCTCACTCTGTTCTTTGTGTCTACAATAAGAGTGGCTGATCTACTATCTTTCTTTCTCTTCTTATGTAGCTGTTTTATATTTTTGTTGCACTTACTACTCTGCTTCTCTTTATGAGCACACCTGTTTATGTGACCCAAGACCTCTGCTTTAGCCCCAGGCCTGGATAAATTTGCTATTTAAGTTGCTTACTGCAGTTATCATGTGCTTGCACAGACAACCCAAATTGTCATCTGTTTTCTATTAGGCTACCAAATACGTAGCCATACTCATCAGTCAGATCTTTGACGAGGAAGTGGAAGAAGTGAAAAGCCAGAACCCTATCAATTGCCAGCATTTATTTATGTATCTCTGTTCCTTACAGCAGTGAGCCCTGTTCTAGCCTATCATAGGCACTGCACATAGAATTCTATTAATATCTGTTGTACTGAGTTAAACAGAATGCACAGAGAAAATGATACTTAACATCTCATCCATAATGCAAATGCTACACTACCAGTGTTTTTCAATTGCTGCTTATCTCTAATGACCTTCTTAGCTCTGCTACACACTGAGAAGACACAAATCACAAGAAAGGAGGACAAAATCCTACCATGTAGAGGTAGATTAGGGAAGATTCTCCATTATGTCTGTCCTTGAGAAAATTGTTAGGATCACCATAAAAAGTACATTGTAGAGACTCCAATACACTGTGAATAAAGGAGTTAGAGGAGGTGAATGAGCAGAATCATTGGTGGAGAAATAATTATTTGGCTGATGCAGTGAAATATCTGAGTCCCTCTTTACTGACTAACAATCGACCTCAGAAAAGTATAGCGTCCCTTCACCTAAGTGTGTGTAGGATGGATTAGAGTGAGGTGGTCCTCAGCTTAAATTTAGCTTACATGTTAATGTTTAGTGATGCCAAAATAAAAATTTAAGTGGGAAAAATGAAGCTCATGGGGTTATGCTTGGTGCAATTGTTGTAAAGAATGTTTCTAGGGATAATTTTTGCTGACGAAATAAATCACTGTCAGTAATTCATTGTCAATTAAGGATGTGACTGTGAACAATATAGTTTATTGTAATTTTCAATAATAAATAACGACTTTGATTACTGGAATAATTTTAACTATCTACATTCATAAATGTTACTGATGAATTTCTTTTAAAAATATCCCTATGTTGGCCAGGTGTGGTGGCTCACGCCTGTAATGCCAGCACTTTGGGAGGCCGAGGTGGGTGGATCACAAGGTCAGGAGATCGAGACCATCCTGGCTAACATGGTGAAGCCCTGTCTCTACTAAAAATACAAAAAATTAGCCGGACGTGGTGGTGGGCGCCTGTAGTCCCAGCTACTCAAGAGGCTGAGGCAGGAGAATGGCGTGAACCCGGGAGGCGGAGCCTGAAGTGAGCCGAGATCGTGCCACTGCACTCCAGCCTGGGCGACAGAGCCAGACTCTGTCTAAAATAACAGACAAAAAATCCCTATGTTACTTCAGTAGGTCCAGATTAAACTAACAACATGCCTTTTTAAGGTTCTGTGCCTGATGTATTTGTATGTGTGAATGTTGGCTGGTGTTGTTGAAAATGTGTTCCATGGACCAATAGTGCCTCCAAATATATTAGTATGTATCTACTGTACTGAAAAAAGTGAAACCATTTTGTTTACTTTAGGATGTTTTATTTCTCCAAATGTGAATCTCACTGAGGGCAATAGAGCATGGAGTGAATCCAAAATTCATTTGTCCAGAGCACATTTTAACACAGTACATCCAGTAGCATATGGAATGGGATAAATGGTATCCCCTACCCGCAAAACGTATGCCTGTGTCCTAATCCTTGGAACCAGTGAATGTTACTTTATCTGGAATAAAGGTTTTCATAGCCATACTTAAGGTTCTGGAAAATGGGAGTTGATCCTAGGTTAACCAATAGCTAACTAATCCCATGACAAATATCTTTATAAGACAGATACATAGTGGAGACACACCCAGGAAAGTCCATGAAGCAGAGAGATGCACAAGTCAAAGAACGTGAATAGCTGCAAGGAGGGAGAGGAGGGAATGGTCCCCAGTACAGCCGCAGGACATGCGTCTCCACCCTTAATTAGACTCTGTACTGCTAATGGCAACAACTGGGAGAGAATATACTTCTTTGTTTTAAGCCACACAGTTTGAGGCAATTTGTTACAACAGCCCTAGAAACTATTATAGCATCTTTGGCAAATATTGCCATAGGCATCTTTAAACATAGATACCTATTATAAAATATGTTCAATATTTAATTTATCTTTAAATAGTTAAATATATTATTTTTTCTTTATATATATCAATATATAGATATATATTATTGATATAAATATATTATTATTATTGAAAATAATTCTGCCAGAAATCTTTTCCAGAATGTATTCCATATTTCCTATGGAATATGCTGATTCCTATGTCGATTTCTGTACTAATAAAGGTAATTACAGAACTACATAAAATTTCTTTTTTTTTTTGAGACGGAGTCTCGCTGTGTCTCCCAGGCTGGAGTGCAGTGGCGTGATCTCGGCTCACTGCAAGCTCCGCCTCCCGGGTTCACGCCATTCTCCTGCCTCAGCCTCCCAAGTAGCTGAGACTACAGGCGCCCGCCACCTCGCCCGGCTAGTTTTTTGTATTTTTAGTAGAGACGGGGTTTCACCATGTTAGCCAGGATAGTCTCGGTCTCCTGACCTCGTGATCCACCCGCCTCGGCCTCCCAAAGTGCTGGGATTACAGGCTTGAGCCACCGCGCCCGGCCTAAAATTTCTATCCTTAACTCTTCTAATAAATGTTTATCTGCATAATATGCCATTCCATAATAATTATTTATTCTATTTTCTAGAAAAATACAGCAGATACAAAGGACCTTAAAGTTCTGGTAATCAGAATATATTTCAGAATGTAATAGTAGGTTAAGGAGAATTGTAATTATCTTTAGCAGAAGGACAACCGTTAAAAAATATCTGCAAACCTTTAAAAAGCTGTCTTTCATAAGTCATGGGGATCGTTTTTACTCTTTTGCCTGTTTGGAAAGGGAGCGTCCTTGCGTAAAGCACAAATGGAAGTTTTTCATCCTGTGATAAAAACAGTGGCAGCAATGAAAACAATTGCTGTCATTTATTGATTGTCTGTCGTGTGACTGGTACTATGTTAGTATTTTACATGTATAAAACACAAAAACATCTGCAAAATGTTACTATCTTTATTTTCTGATCAGAAGTCAGGACCTCCAAGAAATTAAATCATTTTCCTAAGTTTAAACATCTAGTATATGCCCAAGCAGAGACCCAAGATTTTATATAGAATGTTTCCAAATCTGGATTTTTATTCCCTTTCTTATTTGGAAAAGACTTGTATTCTCACACTGAAAGTACAGATAGGTTTTAGTGATGACTATTTGCACACAAAATAACAGAAGAAACCAACATACATGGTTTACTCACAGAAAAGAGGATGTTTATAAAATCAAATGTAGGCAGTTGGTAGGCAGTGTGTCACTTCCATGCCTGGGATGTTCTCTGGGTGGAGAGAATCTTTATAGGTAGCTGCTCCCACAGGCTCTGACTATATTTGTTCATTGTTGCTTGGACTTGATATGGGCTTTCTCTATACTAGGGCTGTAATGCACAATAGATGCATTTAACAAAAAATGAAATGCTTCCATCTTTTCTTTAAAAACAAGCAATACATAGATTATCAACTTTTTCTGTTTAGTATAATATTTAAATAGGAGTCAAAAAGAGCTTATCTTTCTCATTTGCAAGCAACTTTTTAGGTAATAAGTGATTTCCTGTGGAGACATAAAGGGCAATGATCCACTTCTGCCATCAGTTTCCTCTGCTGATTTGAGGCTCCCTCTCATTTGGAATTATCCCATTTTAATAGCTATTGAGGATAAGTTCGAATTCCCCAGCACCCATTTTTCCAATAAACTGAAAGAAGGAAATAGTCTCATTTTCTTTCCACTTAGACAGAGTTTTCATGGCATTCATGAGACTTTGACCAGGCTGTGCAGTAAGTCAGTGTTGGCTTCTTAGGTGTTGTTTCCAATGGGCAAAACAGAACAGATAATCCCCAGATCATATGACTGTTTTGAGGGGTAAATAAAGATAACACATGATGAATGTACTAATACAATAACACATGATGAATGTACTAATACCACATTGATAGCTCATAGTGGTGCAATTACTCTTATAGTCTTTCCAGAATCTGCAGAATCTTGGGTACACCCTATATTATGACAACACTACCCACTTCATTCTGCAAGAATGACTGAATATTTTTTCTTCACTGGCTTTTTTTCACATTGACCTATTCCATATTATCTGAAATACTCTTATGACTTGAACTCTGTGACACCACACTCCTATGTTTCATTTGCTTCTCTACTTATTATTTCTTATTCTGTTTTACAGATCTATCCTCCTTCATCCAGCGTTGTAATGGTGAAGTGCCCAAGCACACTCGCCTACATTCTCTCCCTAGGTTATTGTAGCCACATGCCAATGGCCGTCTGTTCAGTGTTGCCTATCATAATGATCTAGCCTGACATCTTCATCACAGAAGATGAAGCAATGGTTATTGTACGTGTACTGTTGCCATTTTCACAGTCACTTCAAAGTTAACACTTGAACCGAGTTGATTACCATCCACTACCGTATCATTCTTCCTCACTAACCAACACCTCCTCCAACAGTTCTATCTTAGTAAATAACACCAATACCTGTCATACTTAAAGAAATTGGGTGCCAGTGGTAACTCTTTCTCCATCACCCTGTCTCCTTTCTAACTGTTTAAAAGTATGGTATCACTTCCATTCACCCTCAAAATATCTTGCTAATCTCTTCAGGTCTCTCTATATTCATTGCTGTCACCTAGGGCAAACCATCACATTTTCTTACAGTCTTTCTGAACAAGCTTTTTTAAAGAAGTCTGTCTGTCCCTTCATTCACCATTTTTTTCTCCATAGTGCATTAGGAGTGAACTTTAAAAAAATGTAAATTTGATTGAGCATTTTTACATTTTATTTAAATTCTTCAATATATACCCCAAAGTCTTTATGTTGCCTTGTAACCAGCATGGTTTGGCCCCTCTTGACATCCAGTCTACATACATTTCCCTTTCACTTACAATGTAGTCTTTGCTTGTGGTGTTACAATTGCCATTCCTTTCACGAATATAACGCTTCTCATAATCACATCTGAAGTCAATCTCACCGTATAAAAGATGCCTTGCTAGAGTTTCAGGGTAGGTCAGTTTCCCTGTCACTAACCTTATGGTAGCCTGTGCTTCAACTCTATGGTTCTTAAAATTGTTAGTCATTGTATTTTCATGCTTACTTAAGTATTTATCACACACTCTATCCAAGTTCCATGAATACAGGTAAAATACTTATTTTTGATCAGCATTGTTTTCCCACTGTCTGGGGCAATTTAAATACATATTCAATAACTGTTGAATGAATGAATGAATAAATGAATTCCATCAACAAAAATGGCACTTCTTCCAAGTGAGCTGTTACTCTGGGCACACCCTTCATTGCTCAACTCCAACACCAGCCTCTTCAAATGCTGCAGGAGTATCGTGACAGTGAATAAGTCTCATGAGATTTGATGGCTTTATAAAAGGGAGTTCCCCTACACAAGCTCTCTTGCCTGCCACCATGTAAGACATAACTTTGCTCCTCCTTTGTCTTCCACCACGTGAAACTGTTAAATCTCTTTCTTTTGTAAATTACCCAGGCTCAGATATATCTTTATTAACTGTGAGAACAGTCTCTCTCCTTTGTTCATTACTGGCAGAATTAATTGCTCTCTCCTACAAGTTCCTAATAGGGTTTACTGTTTACTAATGCCACTCAAGCTTTTTGTAGAAGATAACCGGGCTATTTATTGGTTTTGTCAAGAGGCTGGTGAAGAAGAGACAGACAGTGTTTACTTTCTCAAAGCCAAAATTAAGGAAATGCCTTTACTGCCGATGTCATGGTATTTATATCGTTAACTTCCTCCTCACTTTCTCTATCACTATCTCTCCCCATCTCTGTCTCTGTTACTCCATCTCTATCCCCCTGCCTCTCTCTCTCTCCCCCTCTGAAGACTCCGCATTTAGACAGACAAGTGTCAAGTGGAAGAGAGGGGACATTGAGGACAGATATCCTGAGGAGGCAGAGGTATAAGCCTCAACGGTTAACAAAATCATTTATTTGAAATGGAAGCAGAGCAAAGCAAATAGAAGGAAGCAGAAGGCGTTTTTCAACACACTGCTTCACCATATTGTTCTTTATATCACTCAGGTATCAGCTTCCATACTCACTGATTCTGGGCTATTTCTCAGGTATATGATTCTTTTCTATATTTTGACATTTGTTCTTGTCACTGGTGGAAAAAGATAGAGTCTTTGGAAAAACCCGAACGTCCCTGTAAATTTTAGTTGGCATGAATTTGTTTGTGTATTTGGTGCTACTGCTGATCTTCCGTCATGATTTTCAGAGCCTTATAATTTCTCCCCTTGATTCAGAGATGGAAATCTTGGAAGATGAGATATTCTCAACCAGTAATGCCCTTCTACCATCACTCCTGGCAGCCCTCCGCATTTAAGTGAGCAAAGCAAGACTTCTAGTATTACCATTTGTGTGGTATCTCTATTTCAAAAGGAGACAGGAATAAACAGACTGAATATGCTGTTATATAAGACTGGCTACACAGTATCAAAAACAACAAGGAAAAACAGGACAAAACAAAACTTTCCCTATGACACGGACTATAATAGAATGTTTGATAAGTTAAAGGACTCCTGTAAGCAAACAAGACTGGTTATGCTTTGATTTAAGAAGTCTGGGGAGACTTCATGAAATATTTATATTTGGACTAAGAATATATTCTCTTAACCCTTTTATAGTATTAGCATATTATCCCAAAACACGCATTTACCTTTCCCTTACAGGTTTCACTCCTAATCTAGTTGCATTCCTCACAAGATGTTATCTCCCAAATATCAACACATATCTGGCCAAGAAAGTTTCAACTTAATATGGAATAAATAATTCTACAACTTATTTGTTATTCTTATTTTGGGGAAATAAAAGAACAAATTCATATGTTCATGCAAATGTAAGATTGAAACAGGAAAAATGTACAGAGATACATTCTCTCAGACTTCTGCTTCTTTTCAGGATGAAGTACGAGAACAAGACTCTCCCTCCTGCAACAAACAAATATGTAACTGGACAAAACATATGAAGCAAGTGTTTTCATGCACTAAAAAATGATCATTGCAAGATGACAGCCCTTGAAGAGAAAGAAACTCACATGATGAGTCCCATGACCACCAGCTTTCTGTTAGGGGAAAATTTACTGACTCTATGGCAAAAAGCAAATCACAGAGATCCTGTTAAACTGAAAATGCAGAGATCAGACTATATTGCAGCTGAAGCAGTTGGAATTTTTGTGGAGCGGCCTGGAGGAGGGATCAAAGAAAAGAGCTTTGTAGAAAGCCCCAGAAGCCCATGTGTAGATCCCCTGAAAGTTCATGTTAAAGAGGTATGCACACATGCATACACGCTGTACAAGCCACCCAAGGTATTCCAGATAGCAGGTGCCACCGATTTGAGAAACAGTAAACTTAGGGTAATGCTGGGCTCATTGTAGATCTCATTAACACCTATGGCAACCATGAGTGATTAGAAAGGTAGCATGGACCATGCCCTAGAGCAAAATCTACTCTACACCCACTGTAACAAACCTAAAATAAAGTTTAAAGAGATCTCAGAGATCTCTTTAACATTTGGAGCTTAAGTCTCTTAAAGTTAGAAAGGCTTATAAAACACTTGAAGTTTCTACGGATTTTCACATTTTCACAAACCAAGCATAAAAGTTTACTCAGTTTAAGGTGATTGAATAGTAATTGACTAACTGATCTGATTGCTAAAACAAGAATCAACATTTTTTGAGGATGGGTAGAAGGGTTCTAATTCTTTACACTTGATTGTGTTACCCAAAATGTTTCACATTTTTTTAATCACCAGAATTACAAAGAAAAAAGAAAATGTAACTTACAGTCAAGAAAAAAATAATATAAAGCAAACTTTAAACTCTTTATAGATAAACACAAAGTGGTTGCTATAAAAGTTTTAAAGAACTATAAGAAAATAGTTTTAATATGTGAAGACAAAGTCTTATCAGATATACAGAAACTATAAAAAGAATGACACGGCAACTTTTAGAATAGAAAATTACCATAACCGAAATGAAACAGTTTCTGGATGTTCCCAGCAAGAGTTTTGGGATAGAATAAAAATTTCCATGAGAAAGAAGTCAGTGCACAGTTTGGTTTCCCTGGGAAGCAGACTCTGCTCTGGAGATTAGCTAGCAGGGTCTTTTTAGGGAGTGCTCTTAGGATTAATACCCTAAAGAAAGAAGAGAAGGAATCAAGACTGGAAAGAGGGAAAAGTTGAACTGCTATGTAGTCCTATGAAGTCCTCAGCCAACCGCATAGGGAACTCTGGAGCTGGGGATGAAATTTCAGAATTCCTCAAATTGAGGTGATAGGACAGGGCATTCATGTCCCTGTGATAATCAGTCATTAACTCCTGGCTGTCTTTGAAAGAAGAAATGAGCTTGAGTGAGGCTGTTATCTTCACTAGAGTCCATTTCTTTCTGTGGAGGGCTTACAGCTGAGGGATGCCTTTTGCTAGCACTCCCTGAACATGAATGAGGAAGCCCTGCAGAGGGATCTGTCTGATGGACCATAGTCCCCATCACAATGGACAATGTGCACCTTCTTATTAACTTCTTTGTGTAAGATCTGGGAGCACACCCCCAGGAATTCTGTGAGCCTTTCTTTCTCTCGGTCATTTATCAGAGGAAGGTCATTGGAAAGACCTCCAGGACCTGCCTCTGTATTTGGTGTCAAGGCTGCACTGGATCCTCAGAGTCTTCCTCCTCTAATATCCAATCTAGACTCCCTTCATCTTCAGCCAGCATCTCTGTTTGTCTTGGTGGCTCATCTGGTGATATGAGCTGGATTTTAACCCCTATTCCCCTAGGCATCCAAGCCCCTGGTCACCACGTATTCTTCAGTTAGATAAGGACTTGCCAAGAGAAGCCGAAGTAAACCACCTAGGTGTCAATTGTACTCCTACCTGTCCCCCAGTAGCTGTCTCTTCCTGAGAGTCAAGATCAATTACACCTGTCACATTACTGACTCTTTTTGCCCACTGGTTCTCCGGCATGAAAAGTCTGAAATGCTTAGACAGCGACTTTAGCTTTTAGGTCAAGGGGAATCTTAATGTCTCCCTCGTAGAGGCAAACCTGCTTTGGTAACAACAAGCTTTAAGCTTACGGAACACAGAACTGCAAAGATAAAATACATGAGTCCCCAAATAAATCACCTGAAGTGATGGTGAGTAGGGAGACTTTTATTTTGATCTCTTGCTTGTTGGATCCATGCATTCTACTTGTTCAGGGAGCAGTGCCATATAGCTGCCACTGATTTAAAGGACAGACTACATTCTCAACGATAGCGCCCCATTCTGGTAAAGTACTGTCTCCTCGCTGGAGCATGAACTGTGCCTTTAAAGAGACCGTTCGATCATGTTACCAGATGACAGCTGCTGTTATATGATACAAACAGCTTGATTTTGTTATAAATTAACCCGCCTGGCTGCCAGGAGAAAAAGTAGGGAACTGTGATATGTTCATGGTGTCTTTCAAAATAGACATCTCTATCAAGCAATGGGAAACTCCTGGCCCCACTAGGAATCACTCTTTTCATAAGAAGGAGCATGCCACTTTTGCAGAGTCAGAGGGTTCAGGGAAACCTGGGGATTCAAAATATTTAGAGCATCAACCCAGATATGTTCATTCTACATGTCAGGGTCATTGTTTCCCAACAAGCCTCCTGCTTGCATGGCACAGCTGCCATGGTGAGGATTTTTCTTCTTTGAAGCTCAGCTACTTTTCCCATTAAGCTCTAGGTCTGGTCCTCAGCTTTCTCTGCCTTCCAGTTTTAAGAGAGTGGAGTCTCTTTATATGCAATCAATGAGGCCTTCTGGTCTCCACATTTACTTTTTAATTATCAATCAAACACTCTCAAGCTTAGCAGTAGGCACTCAATCCCACTGCCCTATGGTAACTATTTTCAACATCTCTCTTCAACACCAGGTTGTACCAGATAGTGCAGCTTTTGCCAGTGGTATAACATTGGTCCACGGCCAGTGAATGTTTTAGTAATTGTGCTGTTAGCTTGTGCCAGGGCCTCTCTGTGCTCCACCTGCCACTAGTGAGGTTTTATCGCCAGCTGGTTGGCAGCTGGTCGAACTCCAA